ACTGACAGTTCCCGGCTACCTGTAGTCCTCGACATTGTTGGTGGCCATGACGGGATGATTCACTGAGTAGAAAACGACGGCATCCACATTCACCGTGACCGAATCACGGGACAAGACCTGTGAGTGGTAAGTTATCATGACATAAATACACTTCCTCTTGCAGCCTCAAGCCTGGATTCAAGACGAATATCTGCAGTGACCTGTGCAATATCTGAAGCTCTCAGAAGGTTATGGGATTTGGTAATAAACAGAATTTACACAACCTCCCACAAACCTAACATTTTAAAGCTGAAACTTATATTCATTTCTGAATGCAAATGTGTCAAAGCTAAGGCGACCACACATTCTCCTCTGCTAGCTTCTTTAACAATACAAACTACAATGTGTATTCTTCAAATATCATCATGTGAACTGACAGATTTAGTTCAGATTTTCAGCCTCATCTTGTAGTATGTCACATAATGTTTGAGAGAGTATACTGCGTGAAACTTACTGATGTGTGCAGAAAACCCAGCTCTCCTACCTACCATAATGTGCATTAGCTTTTCAGTGTCTTTAACATTTGTTTTTCCTTTGTTTCTGTTCAATTTATTTAAGACTAGTCTTCATGTGTCATGATACCTAAACATGTCAACTTTCTATTCATCCATCAACTAAACATACATTAATGAAATCATTAAGCATAAGCTTTCAAATCCAATGTGGCATAAGAAACATTTTTCTTAGCTACAGCTGGTTAGTGTGACATCCACAAAAGCAGAAAACTGGCACAAACTAATTCTGCCAGAAGAACCATGCTCATTTAAGCTTCACAACCGAAGCACTTTTTTATTAACAAAATATTGAACATCAAGAAAAACAATCATATAAAAATTTGTACTAAATTAACTAATAATGCTATACACTGAACATACATAATCTTTACTGTCAACACAACAATACTGTATTATTTATTTATTTATTTATATAGCACATGTTTTGAAATAAAAAATTAAAAAATAAATAAATAATAAAGTAGTGTTGTGTTGACGGTAAAAATTATACATGTTCATTGTATATAAGCAATAGGATGCAATCCTTAAAAATAATGCTATACATTCTTCCTGCCACAGATCACTACACAAATTTCTATTTTACAGCCTGGATTCCAACTTCACCAAGAGTCTTTACATGCCTGTATAAGAGAGCAGCTTGCTAAATATAAGTTGAGCAGTTAAAACTGTCCATAACACAGTAATGATTGGTCACCTTATTTTCAGGTCCTTAAGAATAAATATGAATATGATAATTATGAGGAGTTCTGACTGCTAATTCTTATGAGAACTGTGAAAATACCTAGCATTATACTTAACTTATTACATTTCAAATGTATTATTTCTTAATAGCAAAATTTTTACTTTTTAAATTCTTTTAACCCTTACAACCATGTGAAATATTCAGGTGTGTAAAAAAACTGTTTTTCTTTTCTGATTTCCTTACTGAAAAATAGGTGATTGTTTCATATTTGGGGTCACCTTATTTTCAGGCTTATACAATATATGAGGTGTACTTTCTAAAGATGTGAAGCAAATACAAGAATCCTGCAACTTATGTGACCAAGAATGGTCAACTTGAAATCTCATGTTCATTCCTGTTAGTTCTTCGGTTTCACTTAGTTTCAATGAAAAATACATAATGCACTTCATTTTGTTATTTATTTTCAGCCAATGACCAATCTTCATGTTTTGTTTGAAATCATTTCATATTTTGTTTATGCTTGAATAAAATAACAGCCAAAAATTATGCACCCAAAATCTAATCAACATGAAATCAGCACTAGTCAAAGTGCTATAAGTATTTCTTAACACCTGCAGCCAATTTCGTTTCCCAAAAAATAAATCTGTGCAGTGTTCATTACACTGAAAATCCAGTGAATTGTTGCATAAATGTGAGAACACAAGCTAATATAGTTATGGTAGTATAACACAAAGAACCAACTCAAAAAAGATGCATGCTATTAATATGCTAGTGTCACTTAGTCTCTTGTTACATTACTTTACAAAATGCTATATAAGAAATTGTCAACAATACACTGGAAGATGCTTGACAGGACCTTCCAAAAAACGATATTAAAATTTCAACCCAGATCAATACGATTCATACAAAGACCTCTCCTCTTAACAACAGGAAAGATTTAGTTCTCTGACATACATAACAATTAGATATAAATCCAGTTAAATACCATAGTAACTTTGTAGTGTAAAACATTCTAAGCTTTGCCCTACTTGATATTGTCACCTGAAATAAAGTTACCAGAGCTTAGGAAGCACAGATGCCATCGAAGTGTTACAAAATTTAGAGCAAACAAACACATCTGCCCTTAAACATGATTTTGGGGAAGTCATTTATGATGGTTTTGGAGCTTCATGTCTGAGTTTAATGGGGATGTAAATGTTGTTGCACATCCTTAAAAGGCTAGCTGTATATTTATATACTGTTTTACTAAAACACTTATACTGCTAAGTGTGATATATGTTGTTGGCAAAATAACTCTTCAGAGTAGGGTTTACTACCAGAGAAAATTGTTCAATGATCTCAGTTCCTTCATCATATTTCCAGTTTTAATATATTTCTATTTTTCAGACATACTATTAATTATGAAGACTTTAACTAATATATGACATAATCAGGACGTGCTGTATATTACGTTGACTGTTTCCTTGAAATAAAAAGACCTGTCTTGTTAAGTAAGCTACATGGACTAGAAAATGAACAAATAAATTAGTAGACTGAAGGGCCCAAAAACACTACCCCAACCCTTACAAAATTACCGGCAAGTTTGCAATCACGGACACAGTACATCCTTCACTCATATTCACCCAGTGTTTGGTGTCTACTGAGGTCTGGAGACATAAATAACTAATTACTCTTGAAAGTAGTATTCATCTACCAGTTGTATAAAGCAAAATTTATATTGGTCCAAAATGTTTACATTTAAGAATTTTGTTTGTTTGATTCTGTTTTAGCAACCGGTTTGTGCTGAATATCGCCACATACTTCCCACACAGTCTCAATATGATTTACATGAAATGTAATTAATTTCCTCCCAATTATGTAGTAACAGAACATTTCTGACAATTTAAACAATATCATATGCATTTGTGCTCAGCTTTCAACTGTGAGCTTTCAGTGTGGGTGATTTATACCTTTTGAGTAAAACAAACTAACAAAATTACTCCTGTATGCATACCACATGAAACAATTGTATATATATGATTAAATCTTTTAACTACCTACAGATTCAAAGAGCATAATAAACTTCTAGGCCACTTTAAAAACAAAAGTAATTCTAGTGCCACTTGAAATTATTTTGTAAATTATCTTATTTCCATTTTAAATACTAAAACAAGAACTGTTTACTAACTCGATTGAATACCTCATTACTTATTGAACATAAAGATTATTTTACTCTGATAATGTGTTATTTCTTAAAGGAAATATTACAGAACAATGGTAGGCATGTCATCAGAAAACACAAGCCCACATATGGTGAATTTGAGAAAAAACACAGGGTCCTCTTCTCAAGGTAGATACAGCAATAAAAGAAACACAACAAGAAAGATTTTTCTATATATCGTTATTACTGACAGCTACTATGGCTGTTATAATTATGGGGTCCATCATATAATGTCTTTATTTAAAATGAGCAAGTACAGGCAAAAATGAATAAGCAATCTGCATAGAATGGGTGAGAAAAGAAGACCCAAAACAGACTTTAAAATTTAAACTGAAAGGGCACCTGGACTGAGAAAAAGACCTTGAAAAGATGCAATCAGTATGTGAAGTCAGAACAGGCATGACTGACTACACTGTGCAGAGAAGGTCTTCATTATTAAACTGCCTGTTAATGATAAATATGGCTTAGATATGCATAACATTATCAACTGCTGCCATGCTCATTTATGTTTTCACATATTACAATCAAACCTGATGCTTGTCTAACAGCTGACATCTTTGTCCGTTGGTGTTTGTGTGTCAGCATAATTAATATTACGAACACTTGAATTAACAAGAAGAAGAAGAAACTAATAAATTAACTGTACAACAATACAGTACATTTTTTTAGAGAGGTGCACAATTAAGATGATAATTATGTACATAAATTAGAGAAATATACATTTACATAGAAGAATATGGAAACAAAGAACTTATCACCCACCTCAGTTTAAGATTATAGTCTTCTGGAATGTGATTTGTAGTTTGGTAGACAGGCACAAACATTTCAAACAGCCTTTCCACCATCACCATTAGGGTAAAAGAGGCAGCATGTTCCTCCAAAATGCTGGCACCTACTTACCAAACTACACGGTGTCATATGCCAGAAAACTGCAATCTTAATACTAGCACTCACCACCACTGTGAGAACCTCAAGTCTCAATCTTTGTTATAAAACTGAGGAATTTGGATGTGTGTGTGTGTGTGTGTGTGACTGTACCATAGGCGATGTTTTGTTGAGATGTATTCTTTAGTTTTATGAGACAGTATTATCAATCATATGTCTAGCTCATTATGAAACATCTTAAATGTTATTCTTTAAAGCTAAAATTTTACAACTAATACATTCATTTTCTCTTTATTTTGTCACACTAATGGATGATGCCTCAAACTGAGATGAAAACCCTCAAATACATCTTAAATCTACTAGCCAAATTCACTTGCACTATGCTTCATATAAACCTCTATGTGGAAATCAGTAGGATTCTGTATTGCATTATGTTGATAACAGTACCAGGCAATACTGAACTAAAAGGAACCGATGCTGCAGTGAACTGATGTAGAATAAAAACTATTTTATAATTCTGGAGAGCTGCTAAGACTTCTAGGAGTTTAGGATAAACATATTACTAGTTTACCATATTTATAGAACATTAACTACCAATATCATTTTAAAGTTGCCTGCAACTAATTCAACCCTGCACGCTTATTACTAACTTAACAGACAATAAAAGACATGGACATACCTCCTGAGGTGGCACATCAAACGAGACAGTTCGTAGATCCACCTTGCAATAAGTGTCGATGCATGGAAGAATGAAAAAGATACCAGGTCCGCGTGCCCCACCCTTACGTAGCCGCCCCAGTCGGAATATTACCGCCCGCTCATACTCCTGCACAACCTGGTAATAAAATGCACAATATAATCGCTCGATAAAAGTATCAAATTTTGCATGTAAAAAATATACATATGTAGGAAGAATATGTTTAGGAAAACATCATTACGATGGAAGGACTCTGCCGCACCATCCAGTAGGTGTTCACCAATGTTTCACAGGGCTATACTACAGCCAGCTTCAGGGTCACACACAGAGATCAGCAGAGCACTGCGGGCCACCTGCTTCCCACTGGTTTCTTGCTTGGCTTACTGTGACTCTGAAGATGGAGGCAGTAGGATACTCCAAAATGAACTACTAGCAGACTACATGTCACATCCCACAAGACAGCACTCTTCACAACAGGTGATTTTACTTGATCCCAAAAAAGAAACATGACCTGTTTGCAAGCAAAAAATGACAAATGATAAATACTACTCTTTCTCAAAGAGTATTATACAACGATTTTTGCTGAATCTTGCTGTTAATGAAAAACTGAGAGACTGGTGCTGTGAGTGATAAGGAAAATGAAAACACCCTGTTCTAGCACAAACTGTTACAGTGAGAGGTTCAAATCAAGGTTCATAACAAGTGAAATGTGTACCATTGATGCCCAGCTTGTTCTACTTGAGACGCACTGAAAAAAAAAGTTCATGTACAGACCAAATTATGAAACATCCTATGAATTCTCTCAATTCACCCATTACTCTCCATCACGTCCAAATACTCTCAACATTTTTCCTCAAAAATAATTCTTGGCTCTGAGACTAAATATCCTGACAGTTTTCCTTAGTCACTCCAGACAATTTCTGGAAGAGCACCTCTAATTACTGCATCCTTCCACATCCTCTCCAAATTCATTATTCGCCAGCCATCCAACCATCTGATGCCATATAATGTGACTTATCAACAGCATCATTAAATAAACCATAAATAAATGAAATACTTAAAATGATGAGAATATACAAATTATTTGGCTATTTAATGATACTATTTCAAATTATGTGATTATGTAGCACCGAATGAGATGGGAAAATGAAAAATTTTCAAAGAAAGTAACACTTTATCACCTGAGAAGCTACCAGAACTTCTGACCTCAAGTTATTCTCAGATGTGCTAAGTCCTAGGCACACTTCAGCTTCAGTGTACTCTCCTGTTTTATAAATGCCAGGATTTTGATCTAATTTTATTCTTTCCTCTGGGAGTTGAATGATATACCATAGAGCAACTTTATGCCTGAGGATAAGACTTTCTGATGCATTAAAACTAAATTTTAGACCTTCTAAATTCTTTTAAGACATTCTGAACACAGCCCTTCAAATATTAACGTAATACTCTGGTACAACATCAATCTCCATAATACACTTTTTATGGTCATACAATTATTTTTCATTTTCGAATTACACGATTTGATTGGAGCTGGGGATGTTTTGGATTACTGAAATTCAGGGGAATTAAAGCTGAAGTACTGAGTCATTAATCATTCATCAGCTGAAAACAGACCATAACGCAGAAAAAATACATCACAGTTTTTTAAAAACTGAATGGTGTAACACATGGCTGAAACACTACTTTTATATTCTAGCTATACACATCGAAGCAAGAGTTAGCAACTGAGCAAAAAATACAAACATGTTTCTGTAAGTGACAAAACATATATTTTAAATTGCTGTTTCTATTTCATGCATTATGAATATCAAGTGAACTCAAATCATGGAATTAATCACCCATGTCCTGCCAACTGTCCATCTGTAATTCTATCACCCAACAAATAATCCCTTCTACTACACAGGTGCAAGCATATCAGCAGCAACATAACAGAAAGACAAAGAACGTTGGCTCAAGCAACATTTCTTTTTCTATGGTTTCCTTCAGACCCTCCTGGCAAATGTCAGGATAGTACCTTCAGTTAGGTCATGACCACTTACTTCCACAATCTTTCCAGTTCTTCCTCACTTGTTACAAAGTCTGAGTTACCGACAGTGTCACTGAACGCAATACAAATCCACAAATAAATAAAACACAATGGAAAGAAATTCCATTGTGCAGGGTACTTCTTGAGAATATAATACAGTGGAACCCCCACTTAATTCTCCTCAGTTAAAGGCTTCCCCTCATTTAATGTCCAATTTCAACAATCCCACATCAATAATCTTAGTGTTAAAGTTCCTCCATTGATATTTTTCTCAGATACATTGCCCTCCAATGAAACCTTAAAATTTGGACTCTACTGCAGTTGGTTCAGTCAAGAAACTCAAAGCTTTTATGATATTTTCTATCTGTACCCGAATTAATTATCAATAATATTCAAAAGGATTGTAATCCAAATGAAAAAACAAATTTTTATGATTATTTAATTTGTGTTTTTAATGTTACTTTTCCTAAAATTAATTTCAATCCTGCCACAGCTAATGAAATAGCAAACATCATTAATAAATTGAAAACGACTAATTTGTATGGTTACGATGAGATCCCTATCAAAATTTTAAAAAACAGTGTAGATTACATTTTATCCCCATTAACCCATATTGTAAATAGATCCTTATCAACTGGTATTTTTCCAGATCGTCTTAAATTCTCAGAAATAAAACCCATATATAAAAAGGGTAACAGGAATTGTATTAGTAATTATAGACCAATTTCATTATTGACCTCCTTCTCTAAAATATTTGAGAAGGTAATCTATAGTAGACTTAGTAATCATTTGGTCAATAATAACATATTAGTAAACGAACAATTTGGATTTAGGCCAAATTCATCAACCGATAAAGCTACCTTCAAATTACTGAATCAGATAATCCAAGCCCTTAATGATGGGCATAGTGTGGGAGGATTATTTTGCGATCTGGAAAAAGCTTTCGATTGTGTTAACCATGGGATATTGTTATCTAAATTGGAATTTTATGGTATATCTGGCCCACTTCACAAATTAATAGCATCTTATTTGAATGGTAGGTTTCAAAGAATAAGATTACAATCAAAACATTCTAGCTCAAGTACTTATTCCAACTGGGGTGAAATTTCTCATGGAGTCCCCCAGGGTTCCATTCTTGGGCCCTTGCTTTTTCTAGTTTATATCAATGATCTTCCGTTAATCCTAAATAAGGTTTCCACCCCTATTCTCTTTGCGGATGATACCAGTGTAATTATCAAGGAATTTGACCCGTTTACTCTTCTAGACAGACTTAAGGAAGTCTCCAATATTTTAATTACATGGTTCAATGCAAACCTATTATCCCTAAATCTCTCGAAAACGCATTTTATTAAATTTATAGCCAAAAACATAGAGGAGCAGTGCAATTCCATCAGTATTAACAATGGAAATAAGAATATTTTGAGTACAAGATCTACTAAATTTCTGGGTATTAATATTGTAAATACTCTGTCATGGAAGAAACATATTGACCAACTACTTTCCAAACTCAACACTGCTTGCTTTACTATTAGAGCCTTGAAGCCATATGTTAATCAGGCAACATTAGTAACGGTGTACTATGCTTATTTTCATTCACTCATGAAATTTGGTATTGTATTTTGGGGTAATTCATCATATGCTATAAGTGTTTTTCGTGTACAGAAAAGAGTACTTAGAATAATCACAGGTACTGGTTACAGGAACTCTTGTAGGCAGCTATTCGTGACATTGAAAATTCTTCCTCTTCAGTCTCAGTATATTTACTCTTTATTATGCTTTGTGGTTGATAATATAAATTTATATCAGTTTACAACTGATATACATAGTAGAAATACAAGACATTGTTTTAATCTTAATTTTTATCAACCTATAGTTCATCTATCACTATACCTGAAGGGATCATACTGTATGGGTATCAGATTGTTTAATAGCTTACCCTTATATCTAAAGCAGTTGTTCACTAATTGTAAAGATTTTAAAATTGCTTTGAAGGATTTCTTGATTTCTCATTCATTTTATACTTTGGATGAATATTTTGAATGTTGCAGATCGAAGGATAGCATTTCCTTGTAGTAATTTATGTGGATGAGTACATATATGTCTGTGGTTTGTTGATTGTTACCTAAATTTGTGGTATTTTAAAAGTTATGATTGATATTAAGTCAGTCTATTATAAATTTTATATTTTAATTATGGTATTATTGCATGTGGCATAATCCTGTCTTGCTTGTTTTGTTTTGTATCTTGTAACACACATGTATGTATATGTAATTGACTTGTTTTATTATCCCTTGGCTTGTTAAAGCCAAGTGGGATTAATAACGTGAGTAAGTTATTCTTAATGTATGTTTATTTTTATTAGATTCTTTTACCTTACATTATTATTTATGTTTATTGATTGATGTATATGATTTTGATCTTGTATATGCATATTGATATCTGTATTCAAAGGACAATTTCCACATCCTGGTTTTTTAACTTGTAGGGATATATATGGAAAATAAATGGACAATGAACAATGAACAATGACAATGAACAATACCTAAAAGAGTCTTACCACATTCACTAAAACCCACCACTGAACCTTCAACTGAACCAGTATCCACACAACACCCTTACAACTTTGTTCTTTAAAATCCATTTTAATTCTACCAGATATCCCATCTTAACCTACAATTTCACATCATCTATTTCTCTGAGGTTATGTCACTAAATTTTTTTTTGAATAATTAATCATCTGAAAATGACAGTGACAATTTGTATGAGCTTTACAGATCCTCTTTTCATGCTGGGTTAGTTCAAACAACATGCCTCAGACAAATGTTGAACATTGTTGTGTACATGTACTTGAGTTTTCATCAAGAAATTAAATTTGGTTGAATTTCATCACATATTACATTCCAAAGCTGTCTTCCTGTCATAGCACTAAATTTATGTTTATTTTAAATCAGCGGCTACATGTAATACATTATAAGATTTCTTATTTTAAAAAATGAAACTAGGCTTATGATATCATCACGTTGTCTATGGTACAAATCCCTTTCAACTTCTGAACCAGATAGCCTTAAGCTGAGCAAGGCCCTATATCTGATCAAATCCTTACGTAATTCTGTTAGTTTACAGGGATTAAGTAATGTATATTTTACTAAATTTGAATCCATATTTAAGTATGGTATTATGTTTTGGGGTGGTGGAGGTAAAGAGATTGATACAGTTTTTAAAGTATAAAAAAAATGCATAAGAGCCATTATGGGCATTGATAATCGGGCATCCTGCAGAAGGTTGTTTGGCGAGTTAGAAATTTTAACTGTTACTTCTTTGTATATACTGGAGATTTTATGTTTTATCATAAAAAATAGAATCTATACAACTCTGAACTCTGATGTGCATAATTACAATACAAAGCATAAACATAATCTGTATGCCCAACATTGTAATACAAATCGTAAGAGAAGTGTGATAAACATGGGCACAAACCTATACAATAATCTTCCTTTGGAGTTAAAGAATGTATCTGATTTTAAAGTGTTTACGAGGAAACTGAAGTGTTATTTGTTGCATAGTGCCTTCTACTCTCTTCAGGAGTTTTTTTATATGTAAGATGTTGAATTAAATGACTGTAATTGTTTGTTAATGCATGTGCTGGTGGTTTCTTTATATAAGTTATTTAAGTATTTATGTATTCTTTGATTATATTAGGTGTGATTGTTATTAAATCTATATATTATCTTTGACTTTATCCGAATGTATATTTTACAGTTATGGATGTAAATAAAATTATGAATTATGATTTTCACTGAACTCAATATGAACATCACAGACATTTGATGTCACCTTAACACTTTATTTTTTAATTTCCTACAACAAACAATAATGACACATCAAATGTGTATACTTGTTACATGCCAGCAACACTACAGCAACACATAATTTATGGTACTTAAAAATATGCATAACAACAAATCTTGAAAAAATTTTTTGGTATCTTGGTAAAGGTAACTTTATGTAGAATGGGAAATACTAACATGGTGGCCATTAGACATTCTTTTTTGGGTTTTGGTTTGATGACAATACACTGATGAAATCTGGCATACGGGCATACTACTCTTACAAATGTACCTATACACTGTGGATCAAATACTGTATGTAAGTCAACAATTACAAAACTGACATTGTTGAGAAACTTTACGCTTATATCTGACAAATATAACACATACACAATCTGTACTGTGTAAGTTTTTCACTAAAGTAAAATTACATCAGCAGAGTAATATAACTGTTCACTAGCAATATATGTAACAGGAAAGTGGGACATATAAGTTCTTTGAATATAGTATAGTATTATAAATTCTTCAGTGCATCTATACTAACCAGCCTCAAAACTTCAATCCACCCAACCAACCAGATAATGAAAAATTAGTATTTGAAGGTATTTTATTTTAAATAAATATTACATTTTTGAACAAAATAGTTACTAGGCAATTCAGTTTGTGTACCTATGGTATTACTTACTTACTTACTTACTTACTCATGGAGCTGAGCCCTTCTGGGGGAGCCGCCAATTCTGTAGCTACTCAAGAATTTCCCAGCATTTTATGGAACCCGAAGGTTCATCACCATGTTCACAAGAGCCCTCCACTGGTCCCTATCCTGAGCCAGATCTATCCAATCCATACCATCCTATCCTATCTCTCTAAGATCCATTCTAATATTGTCCACCCATCTACGCCTTGGTCTTCCCTGTGGTCTCTTTCCTTCTGGCTTTCCCACCAATATCCTATATGCATTCCTCGTCTCTCCCATTCGTGCTACATGACCTGCCCACCTCATCCTCCTTGACTTGATCATTCTAATTATACTTGGAGAAGAGTACAAGTTATGAAGCTCCTCATTATGCAGTTTTCTCCAACCTCCTGTCACTTCATCTCTCTTTGGTCCAAATATTCTCAACACCCTGTTCTCAAATGCTCTCAGTCTATATTCCTCCCTTAATGTCAGAGACCAAGTTTCACACCCTTACAGAACCACAGGCAAAATTATAGTTTTGTATATTCTAATTTTTATGCTTCTGGACAAGAGACGAGAAGACAAAATGTTCTAGACTGAATTGTAGCAAGCATTACCCGAGTTCAATCGCCTCTTAATTTCCTCCTGAATCAGGTTTCGATCTGTTATCATTGTTCCCAAATATCTGAACTGTGCCACATTTGCAAAACATCTGTTTCCTATCTTTATGTCATGATTTTGCCCTGCATTTTGGCCTATGGTATTACCTATATGAACTTAAACTCTTACCTTGAAACTGAGGCACAGTGAGATGGGGAAGGTCACAATAAATAGCAAGATGGAGGCTGCGGTTGCAATGAATTCAATGCAGCCCATTGGCTCTGGTTCAGCTGAAACAATTGTAAGGGAAAGGTTAGAATTAAAATGCCACTAATTATAACTTCTAACATGCAGTCCTATTGCTGTATATCAGTGTGAAGAGGACAATGTAATGGGGAATCGTTTCTTCTGTACCTCCTCTCATACCATTATATCCTATCCTCCTATCCTCATTTCCCATTCTCTTCCCCTTTCCTTACTTCGATTTATGTTACACTAAAATGTATATTAAGTTACACCTTTAGCCTTCTAATTGTAGTTTCCAGTTCACAGCGTTCATCTGTGTATGTGTATGAAATCTACAAATTTAATTATTAGCATGACACACAGATGTGGGAACTGACCACATTCAAGCAAATGTTACAGTGACAACACAAGTATCATTGCTTAGCAATGATGAGTAAACAGCTGTGGGATGTGGGAACTGCCCACACAATCAATCAAAAATCATATCCTAATACTGTAAATGATGAAAGCTGATATAAATTCAAAATATCTCAAGTTTTAAGCTTGAAATTATTCTGAATGCAATCTTAAGACTTGAGACCTACTACTTCCACATAGGACAATTTTAAATCAAACTCTCATTGCACTTTATTTAAATACAAAGACTAAATAAAATATATGTTTTTACTGTAGCATTACAGTGAATAAAATCACTTGGGGGAACTACAGTATAAACTATTAATGCATCTTACTTTCTAGAACTGCTGTAAATGCTCACGTTTCACAACAATACAAGCAAGACAGGGCTTTGGAAAATACGAGGGTCATACTAAAAGTCATGAGCAACAATTTTTTGTAAAGTACCAAGCTTTATTATTGACAAACCAAATATACCACCTCAATCTACAGACCTTTCTTTATTTTTCCACATAATTGCCACTTCTTTGTACACATTTCTCCCAGCATTCTGGGAATTTGAAATTCCCTTTCTGTAAAATTCCGTTCCAGCCATCCGAAGACACTGACACACTGCTTTCTGAATTGCCTCCCTTGCCTCAAAACGTTGTCCACGCAGCTGATCCTTCACAAATCCGAAAAGATGGTAGTTGGAGGGTGTCAGATCAGGGCTATAGGAGGGGTGAGGAAAAACTTCCCACCCCATCTTTACAATTGCTTCCAATGTGAGGGGAGCGGCGTGGGGGCGAGCGTTGTCATGCAGGATGATTGATGTTTCGATCCGGACGTTCATTGCGCAATGCATGACAGAGGTCTGGACATAACGAGCAGCACTGATGGTTTGCCCAGGTTCCAGGAATTCAGCCAGAATAAACCCCTCTGCATCCCAGAAGACTGTGCTCATCACCTTCGCAGCTGGTGGCACTGTCTTTGCCTTCTTTTTTGATGGAGAATGCAATTGGTGCCATTCCATACTCTGCCGTTTCGTTTCAGGCTCGAAATGGTGAAACCAGCTTTTGTCACCTGTCGCAATACAGAGCAAAAAATTGCCTTCATGTCAATATCTCTGCAGCAGTTCTGAGGTGATGGCTTTTCGCTGACCTTTGTGGTCTTCAATCAATAACCGCGGGACCCAACGAGCACAAACTTTCCTATAGCCCAAGCTTTCGATCATCTCCTGTACTGCACTGTGCCCTATTCCAAGTTTTCGGGCTATTGTGTCCACAGTCACACACCTGTCATCTTGAATGATCTCATCCACTCTTTCCTTGCTGCGTTCAGTTGAGGCTGTTCGAGGACGATCACTCCGAGGCTCATCTTCGATGGTGTTCCCATCTTTAAAATGTTTCGCCCATCTTCGAACACGGCTCGCACCCATGCACACACTTCCATAAGCACGCTCAAGTCTCTGGTGAATTTCTGCAGCAGGGATTTCCTCTTTCACAAGAAATTCGATGGCAGCATGCTAGCGAAACGACATATCGTTGTTGGCCATTTTGTTATGAGTGATACTGGTCACGTAAGGCAAGCTATTGACATCAGAAGACACTCAAGGTTAACACAACAGCTGGTTCAACCTACCACTATACTCTCTTTCGTCTGCTGTTCCCAGGTTGCATGCAAAAAAAAAAGTTGCTCATAACTTTCGGTACGACCTACGGATATGTTACTCACAGATCGTATGAATTGAGTAACCTTTTTAGCAACAGAACTATATCATTAACAAACAAGGTTTGAAATAATACATACTGTATTAGAGATAGCAGACAATGCTTGATACAATGCATACACTTTTTTGATTTCAGCTGTGCATGTCAGGTTGAGGATACAATACAGTTGTACTGTCAAACATTCAGCTATATGGTATGTATTTAAGAGCTCTGCATCCTGGTAACAATTGAAATCGGATCACTGTCTTCTAGACAGTAATGTGTTTCAACTTCAATTACTGTTTTGGAACAGATTTATATTTCTTGTTATATGTGTGTTTCATGAAGAAAAAAGTATCAATATAACATACTGCTGCACACCATAATACACATCCAATCATACCTCCTGACTTCCTTATGGTTTTCACCCAGCATATACTAAAATCATATTTTCAAATAAAATTGACAAAATAATATTTTTTAAAAAATAAAACATAATTAATATTCACAATATGAACTTCAACAGGATATAAAATAATGCATTATTACCTAAATACAGCTTACTTTCATGAGCTATACGCAGCCGTGCTTCTTGAAGTGGGGTGCTCTCTAGTTCAATTTTTTCTGCAGCTTGCGAGAATGACATGGCTAACTAGAAGCACGTCTGAAGTTCAATAACAGTTAACTGAACACACTTATTAAAGTTCATAAAGCATCACTTCAGGAAACTTTCTTGTAACTTGCACAACACCACAGCACCTACAAAATACTGAATGGAAATTGTTGAGTTTCCACAGTGACAAATCGAATACCAACAGACTGTTGCCTAGGAAGAACCGTGGCAACGATTTATTGAAACAGCAGAAATATTGCATTTCCACGGTAACGAGCACAAAACACGTGAAATTGAACCCTGGGCGATGGTGCGTTCTATCCTGTCTGAAACCACATTATAATAGTCTAGCTGCGAAAAGCCAAGTTAGTTGAATCAAGTGAACGGAGTCAAGACAGTTAGTTGAAGACTAGCAGTCACCAAATTTAATTGTATTGAGCTGTGAAGTAAGACAACACCGAAATTGACACGGCAAGAAGAATTGTGAGACAGAAAGTGATAATAATTGTACTCGCTAGTGTAAAAGTGAGCGATCAATAAACGTATTCATTCCAATCTGAAGACCCACACTATATTTATTCATGTCACGTCACACAGCCGACACGCTACATTTTTCATTTTAAGACAGTCTGCATGTAACCATGGCATTGCAACCGGACATCTTACATTCATATGAAATACATTTCTCAGGATTATAAGTATCTACCATTATTTACTCTGTTATAACAGCAAAACCCCCTTCCCGCAAAATTTTATAGTGGATAAACATCTCACTTGAAGTGGATATGTAGTTCTACAACGGGGTATAACTAGTGAAAGTATGTATCAAGTATCACAGATGATTCTGAATTTCCATGAACAAATACATGTTCATTAGAAGCAGTACCATTTTCAGTGGTTTGTTTTTACTTTTGTATCATGCAGGCATATCTTTCTAGTAAGGAGCCATGTTTTGTGGAATCTGCAAACACACTCTACAGCTACTTATTACTGACATAACCAAACTAACTTTCTGCTACTATAACCAAAGTATCTGTATTCAACATAAGATTGTTAAAAGAAGTAAATGTTATACTGCCGGTCACGGTAGCTGAGAGGTCTAAGGCATGCACTGTCTTCGATCTCTCGGAAGCCTGGATCGTGGGTTCGAATCCCACTCAGGGCATGGATGTTTGGGTGCGTTTTTCTGTTTTTTTTCTACAGGTAGAGGCCTTGCGATGAGCTGATCACTCATCCAAGGAGTCCTACCGTATGTGTTAGATCTAGAGAAACTGAAGTGAACGGAGAAGTTCATGGAGGTAGGCCTAGGCCCACTGGGGCTGTAGTGCCAAGGAAAAAAAAAATGTTATACTATAAACATTCAAGATTGTTAGAGCCAAGTTATACAAAAAATCCCCAAATTTTTGCATGTGCATATGTCTCAGCCTTATTATGATCAGTAACTGCTAAATAATGCTCTGAACAAATGAAAGAATAATCAAGACATTCTTTTGTGAGACTGATATTTTCCAGCCTCAAAAATGTGTTCTGATTATAAGCTGTCAAGTTATTAATTAACATTTCATCCAAGAAAAATCTGTTACAAGAATAAATATATTTTCAACAGGGAATACCATAAAAATACATACACACATGACCTGAAGCTTACAGGGTGACTATGCAATGAAGCGCTCTCAGAAATTTGTCTATGTTAAGACGTGTTTAATATCTAACGTTCTGGAGACTGTCTCTGTCTCCATCAGCGAGGACTGATGTTAAAATACATGTACTTGGATTTAAAACTTAATTTCATGATGCAGCATTCCGTGAGGAGAATACATGAGTTTCCATTCACTTTATTTTCATTTTGATTACTGTTACTTGGAACCTCTAAGAGGAGAATGAATGAAGCATTATTAAGAGAAATACACTTCATTTGGCAAGATAATTTCAGCAAAAACATTATTACTTTCAAATTAAAAATAGCTGATTATGAACAGTAGAAAAATGGTTGAAATACATATGGTTCTGCAATTATTTTCATTACAAGAAGAAACTGGATACACTGGCTTATATAGGTTGACAGAAATGTGCCATGCATTTTATGAACTTCACTATTCACCATTCAGAAAACTCATAATGGTAAAAATGCACTTTTTCATTATCATATACGAAATAAGAAAATGGAAGGCTAATTGGATTGGTCATGTTTTACGCAGAAACTGCCTTCTAAAAGAAGTTACTGAAGGAAAGATAGAGGGGCAGATAGAAGTGACAAGAAGACGAGGAAGAAGACGTAAGAAGATGCTGGATGACCTTGACAGAAGAGGATACTGTCATTTGAAGGAGAAAGCTCTAGATCGCATTA